GCCTTACGTTGGAGACTCGACTCACTACCCCACCCACCCACCCAGACACACACACACACACACACACACACACACACACACACACACACACACACACACACACACACACACACACACACACACACACACACACACACACACACACACACACACACACACACACACACACACACACACACAGAAGCCTGAGTCGTATGTTCACAAAAGCACTTGATTTTGTAATGTCATGACACTGACTTGACGCTTTTCGTGCGCAAGTGCCGGTGGATGGTAGGGTTGAGGATGGCAGGGTTGAGGATGGCAGGGTTGAGGATGGCAGGGTTGAGGATGGCAGGGTTGAGGGTGGCAGGGTTGAGGGTGGCAGGGGGTGAGGATGGCAGGGTTGAGGGTGGCAGGGTTGAGGGTGGCAGGGGGTGAGGATGGCAGGGTTGAGGATGGCAGGGTTGAGGATGGCAGGGGTGAGGGTGGCAGGGGTGAGGATGGCAGGGTGTGTGTGTCATGAGTGAGGATGGCAGGGTGTGTGTGTCATGAGTGAGGATGGCAGGGTGTGTGTGTCATGAGTGAGGATGGCAGGGTGTGTGTGTCATGAGTGAGGATGGCAGGGTGTGTGTGTCATGAGGGTGGCAGAAGTGTGTCATGGGTGAAGGTGACAGGTGTGTATTTCATGAGGGTAGGTGGCAGAGGTGTCATGAGTGAGGAATGGCAATGTATCTTGAAGGTGGGTGGCAGGATGTGTCACATAAGTGAAGGTGACAGGGGTGAAAGTGACCGGAATGTGGGTGGCAGGGGGGTAAAAGTGACCGGCATGTGGGTGGCAGGGGGGTGAAAGTGACCGGAATGTGGGTGGCAGGGGGGTGAAAGTGACCGGAATGTGAGGTGACAGGGGGGTGAAAGTGACCGGAATGTGGGTGGCAGGGGGGTGAAAGTGACCGGAATGTGGGTGGCAGGGGGGTGAAAGTGACCGGAATGTGGGTGACAGGGGGGTGAAAGAGACCGGAATGTGGGTGGCAGGGGGGTGAAAGTGACCGGAATGTGGGTGGCAGGGGGGTGAAAGTGACCGGAATGTGGGTGGCAGGGGGGTGAAAGTGACCGGAATGTGGGTGACAGGGGGGTGAAAGTGACCGGAATGTGGGTGGCAGGGGGGTGAAAGTGACCGGAATGTGGGTGGCAGGGGGGTGAAAGTGACCGGAATGTGGGGTGACAGGGGTGAAAATAGCAAGAGCTGGGAGCCACGGAGACGTGGATGACAGGACACGGGCCGATCAAGACACACCAAGCTGTAAATGACACAAAAAAACAGCTGTGTCCCGCTAATAACCAGCTTATTGTGTCAATTAGATGTTCCACTAAGCATCTGTTATATTACATGTGGGACTCGGCTAAATCTTGAGGCATATTTCTGAACGCCCAAGACTATATGATTTCCCCTCACTGAAAGTCATCCCTTCAGGCTCCAGCACTCCTCATGTTCGCCACGATACGCGCTTGCCTAGTTGCTTTGGCACACACACACCTACCTATGGAGTAAACACCACCGATCTGCCCATTCTTCTCTCTCTCTCCCTCCTAAACCCGGTCCCTCCAAATTGGTATACCAATTATGGTTCCTAAAATATATGTTATGTCCCTTACTGCTCATCCAGGCATCAGCGGGGGGCCCCTGCTTTGTTTCTTTTACTTTATATGTATTTCTGTCTCCATCTGACCATCTGGATGTCGTCGTTCATCGCCAATCCTCGGAGGTTGAAGGTTGTCCAGGGATAATTTTTTTTTCAAAAGAGGTTTGGGAAAGAGTGAAAGGTAGCGACGGGTGGGCGGTTCCAATAACGGGTTGAGCCGGTGATGGCGGACTTTCCCTGCCAAGGCCACCATCCCCTCGCTGCCACCATTGCTCACACACACACACACACAACACCAACCGTCTCCAATGCATTAACAGTCCCAGATGTAACAATTTCGCAGGTTATTATTATATATTTTTATTAATTACACTCGTTACGCAGTTGGGAAAAAATACAGAAAAAATATAGATGTGTATGAAAGCGAAGACTGGATGGGCGTGGGCGGGGTAGCTGCCCGCCGCCCACGGTGTCTGGTGCCAGTGTAACCCAAACATGAATTTTTTTTCACACGTATCACAGGCACAAATGAATTGTTTGTTGACCTGTCGTAAACAGCAGTCATTAAGTGATGAAAACAAGCACGCACACACACACTATATATATATATATATATATATATATATATATATATATATATATATATATATATATATATATATATATATATATATATATATATATATTGTGCTTTTTAGGCAGAGCTACCGGTGTATTTATAATAATACACTTTTTGACAATATTTTATTATGTATTGACAGTTACATTCAACACTTATGATGTGCATTTGTACATTTTAAACCGAAAGTAACTTAGCAACCTTACCTATGTGGGTTGATTATTCATCGATACTGCCTAACTTAGGTCAAAATCAGCCAATATTTAATTCTAACTTAAATAATTATTCAGATATGTCGATATTATATCTGTACAAATTTCCGCGATAATACTGTACAACGAGAAAGGAAAAATGTGCTTAATTGGATGCGGCATTGCTAACTAGGCCAAATCTGCCTAAAAAGCACATCATATATATATATATATATATATATATATATATATGTCGTACCTAGTAGCCAGAACTCACTTCTCAGCCTACTATTCAAGGCCCGATTTGCCTAATAAGCCAAGTTTTCCTGAATTAATATATTTACTATATTTTTTTTCTTATGAAATGATAAAGCAACCCTTTTCTCTATGTATGAGGTCATTTTTTTTTTATTGGAGTTAAAATTAACGTAGATATATGACCGAACCTAACCAACCCTACCTAACCTAACCTAACCTATATTTATCGGTAAGGTTAGGTTAGGTAGCCAAAAAAAGCTAGGTTAGGTTAGGTTAGGTAGGTTAGGTAGACGAAAAAACATTAATTCATGAAAACTTGGCTTATTAGGCAAATCGGGCCTTGAATAGTAGGCTGAGAAGTGCGTTCTGGCTATTAGGTACGACATATATATATATATATATATATATATATATATATATATATATATATATATATATATATATATATATATATAGATATATATATATATAAACAGAGAGAAATAGAGAGGAGAGAGACAGAGAATGGAGCCAGAGAGGAAGGTGGCGGGAACAAGTGAAGGGAGCAGTGCGGTGGCCGGGTACACTGGGCGGCGGCTGCGGCACCAGGCTCAGTCTATCCCCAGGACACACACCAGAATGCGAGTGAGGCCAAGCTTTGTACACCCCCGACTAGCCAGTGAGGGGCTACACCTACACTAGCCAGTGAAGGACTACACCTACGGCTATGGTACACTACTGGATCACACCTCCCGCAGGCAGAGCGTGCAAGTCACCTGATTCTTTGTTTACATTCCGCCACTTGCTCTCTCTCACACACTGTATACTGGCAGAGAATTTAAGGAGGAACGATCAGAAAATTCAGTTGACAACGATGACTTGTAAGAGTCAGTGGTTGGTGATAAGGACGAGAGAATTGGCGTGAAGTTGTCAAGATGGCAGCAAAGCACCATATAAGCCTTACACACTTCCTGCTCCAGGGAGTCACCGCAAAACTGTCTTGGATACAAATAATTAAGTGGAACGCCTCATCGTACAACTCTCCCACCGAGAGTTTAGCGTACTTCTTGACTCCACTGTGAACATTTTTGATTATTATTATTATTTTTTTTCGAGTATACAGAGCTTGAACAAACTGCATATAAAGGACACCTAACACGATAGAGAAGCAACTTGAATAGCTATATACAGTGATGTAGTAACTTGGACGAGCCCAGAGCTGCTTCTGCTTTCCCCTCCGTTGTGGGGACGCCAAGTGACTTCTCCATAGTGGGGACATCAAGTGGCTTCTTCATATTGGGTACGCCAAGTGGCTTCTTGATAGTGGAGACGCCAAGTGGCTTCTTGATAGTGGGGACAAGTGGAGACGCCAAGTGGCTTCTATATAATGAGGACGCCAAGTGGATTCTTTATAGTGGGGACGCCAAGTGGCTTCCCCATAGTAGGGACGTCGAGTGACATCTCCATAGTGGGGATGCCAAGAGACTTCTCCATAGTAGGGGTTCAAAGTGGCTTCTCCATAGTAAGGATGCCAAGTGGCTTCTCCATAGTGGGAATGCAAAGTACCTTCCCTATAGGAGGGACATCAAGTGTTCATGTTCGAGGCGCTAAGTGGTCACATCATATTTGAGGCACCTAGTGGTAAACTCAATAGCAAGGAAGCCAAGTGGCTTCTCCAGTATGGGGTCGTAAATTGTCACCTTGGATGGGGAGGCTTCGAGTGTCCTCCTACATGATGGATACATATGATGGGGGGACACCGAATGTCTCTTCCATATCAGGGTCACTGAGTGTCTCTTTCCTATTAGGGACACCGGGAGGGGAAGCAGGCGACTGTCCTGGGGCACACCAATACTCCAGTGATGCTAACACACTATGTTACAATAACGTTCCACCACACGATTTTTCTTTTTCTCTAGGTCTTAACTGCATCATCTACAACCTACCCAACACTTGGGGGTTATTATTCTATTTTACAATAAACATTTGTATATAATGCCCATTTTCTAAACACACAAAGACACCCCTCTCCCCCTCGCTTGAATCAACAGTAATATTGTCGTGTTAGACAGTAACCCCACAATATACTCTTCATGGTTTCCTAGGACAGTTTCCCTCGACTGCCCTGACTAGTACTTTCAGCACTCAGGTTTGTTTTCCTCTTGCGTTTCCGGTACAACATGACTTTGAGACGCGCAGTCATGTTGGACTAAGGAGATGCGCAGCCGCCTCGTTGCTGTTGCTGCCACTCCTCCTTATCTTCGCCGTCACCTTCACCTAACTTGCAAATTAAATCATGACCCTGTCCAAAATACAAACTTCTTTCTTTTCCTAAAACATATTATATATGTATGAAGCGAACCGGTTCATGATGAGCCGCTTTCAGTCTAACGTCGGGTGTAGGTACTTTTATTTCTTTAATATTTTATTGAACTTTACTGTAAGTTGTCAGCGGCTCCCTATCCTCAGTTCCCCGATCGACATTTCTTGCTGTCGCGACGGAATTTATTGCGGTAATTGGTTTGTTAGACGGAGAGCTGATCAGATAATTCTATGCACTGGAGCTGAAGACTTCACACCATCTTTCATTAATTAGTCTCTCGTCGAGTAAGATTAATTTCAATGTGGAACTGAGTTTCGTTAACTTGTGAGCTATCTATTGGTTTAGACTGAATTACTTGGATTTCTATATGAAGGTATGAAAGAGGCTTGAATAGTAGGTCTATACTTTTATCACAAAGTCAAGTAAACCTTCCTATCTCACCATAAGTATCACAAGAGACAGAGGTTTCCTACTCGTGTCTAGCCAGAACAATAATTTTAGCGTGTGGCAACTCGACCCTCTACGACAGTGTCCGCTAATCACTTAAAATTTTAGTCATGTTGAATGTAGTGTTTACAGGGTGGTTGGTGTAGAGCGCCTGGCGGATTGGTTTGGGTGTAGGGCGCCTGGCAGGTGGTATGGTTGGTGTGTAGGTGAGTGTGCCGCCTCACTTCTCCCCTACCACCACCACATCTTCACTGTCGTCGGGAAAGTCAGTGTGGAAGGCTTCTTGAGAGATGGAGGCGCGGTTCAGCTTCCTGGCGACAGCCCAGTCTTGCTGACCAAGGAGCTCGTCCACTCTCCCCTGGAAGGTGCGGTACCAGTGGGCGTAGTCCCGGTGCAGGCGGGAGAGGCAGTACGAGATGTCCACCACCCGGTCTGTCTTCCGCAGCCGCCACTCTAGCTCGTACGTGAAGTGTCCCTCCGACAATTTTTCCAGCTCGCGGGTAAGGGCGTGACGCGTCGGATGGTCGGATCCCTTGATGGTCGGGTGGTGCGAGCGGAGGACGACATGGTGATCGTTCCAGAGGGGCGCCCAGGTCCGCACCGCCGCCAGCATCCCCCGCATCTCGTGGTCGGAGGAGTCCTGGTGGCTCTGGTACTCTATGGGGATGTTCTCGTAGAAGAAGGACCAGTGGGTGATGGCCTTGTCGGTCTTCCACACGCAGAAGCCGCCTATGTGGTTACCGGAGGCGGTGGTGGCGACGTAGACCAGCTTGTGGGCGAGGAGGCGTCGGGTGGGGGTGGCGGGTGGCAAGGTGGCACTGCTCGTCGAATTAGGGGCCGACGCCGTGCTAGATGCCGCCACCTTCGCCTCCATGGTGGCGGGAACCTTGGCGGTGGTGTTGGGCGACGGCTGGGTGGTGGGCGGCGTCGAGGTAGGGGCGGCCGTGGAGACGGCGGCGGTTATGGAAGTTAAGTTGGAGTCCTTGGCGGGGCCGGTGGTGGTGGTGTTGAGGCTGGTGGTGGTATTCTCGAGCACCACCGGCGGTGTGGACGGGCTGGCCACCACCGTCACGGCGGCCACCTGCGCCACCGAGGCGGGCGCTTCAGACGTCCCGACGGACTCTTCTGTTGTGGAGTTTTCCTCGGGCTCTTTCTTCTCCACCTCCACCACCGTCTTCTCACTGTCGTCGTCGTCGTCGTCGTCATCACCTTCGACGTCGCTAGCGTCGTCATCCCTGTTGCGGGTGGCGTTAGTGTCCTCCATGACGGCGAGCGTGACGGCCGACTCGTGCAGGGTGACGATGCCGCCGGCGGTGCTAGCGGCGGTGCTGGTGTTGGCGGGGATGGCGGCCTTGAGCGTGGTGTTGGCCGCCTCCGCCGTGTAGTTCTCCCTGGTGAGGGCGGCGCTCTGCAGGACGCTGACGACGTCCAGGTGGCCGAGGTGGGTGTGGTCGAGGGTGTGGTGCTGGTGGTGGTGCAGGGAGTGGTTGCGGACGGGCACGGGCTGGAACACCACCAGGGTGCGGTCGCTGACCTGCGCCAGCCGCAGCGACAGGTAGGGCACCACCGCCAGCGCCACCAGCAGCAGCGTGCCCAGTAGCACCCGAACTACCCACACGCCCACGCCCGCACGCCCGCGCTCCTCTCCCACCACCGTGTATAACACATACTTCTTCTCTTTACCGTCCACCACCTTCTCCTCCATCTGTGGAAGAGAAAAATCACGTTAGTCACGTCAACACCTCCACTACTCTCTTCACATATTGGAATGTATCTTCACATATTGGAATAAGTCACACATATTTCTCAATAATACATGTGTGGCGGGTGTTTCTCAATAATACATGTGTGGCGGGTGTTTCTCAATAATACATGTGTGGCGGATGTTTCTCAATAATACATGTGTGGCGGGTGTTTCTCAATAATACATGTGTGGCGGGTGTTTCTCAATAATACATGTGTGGCGGGTGTTTCTCAATAATACATGTGTGGTGGGTGTTTCTCAATAATACATGTGTGGCGGGTGTTTCTCAATAATACATGTGTGGCGGGTGTTTCTCAATAATACATGTGTGGCGGGTGTTTCTCAATAATACATGTGTGGCGGGTGTTTCTCAATAATACATGTGTGGCGGGTGTTTCTCAATAATACATGTGTGGCGGGTGTTTCTCAATAATACATGTGTGGCGGGTGTTTCTCAATAATACATGTGTGGCGGGTGTTTCTCAATAATACATGTGTGGCGGGTGTTTCTCAATAATACATGTGTGGCGGGTGTTTCTCAATAATACATGTGTGGCGGGTGTTTCTCAATAATACATGTGTGGCGGGTGTTTCTCAATAATACATGTGTGGCGGGTGTTTCTCAATAATACATGTGTGGCGGGTGTTTCTCAATAATACATGTGTGGCGGGTGTTTCTCAATAATACATGTGTGGCGGGTGTTTCTCAATAATACATGTGTGGCGGGTGTTTCTCAATAATACATGTGTGACGGGTGTTTCTCAATAATACATGTGTGGCGGGTGTTTCTCAATAATACATGTGTGGCAGGTGTTTCTCAATAATACATGTGTGGCGGGTGTTTCTCAATAATACATGTGTGACGGGTGTTTCTCAATAATACATGTGTGGCGGGTGTTTCTCAATAATACATGTGTGGCAGGGGTTTCTCAATAATACATGTGTGGCGGGTGTTTCTCAATAATACATGTGTGGCGGGTGTTTCTCAATAATACATGTGTGGCGGGGGTTTCTCAATAATACATGTGTGGCGGGTGTTTCTCAATAATACATGTGTGGCAGGGGTTTCTCAATAATACATGTGTGGCGGGTGTTTCTCAATAATACATGTGTGGCGGGTGTTTCTCAATAATACATGTGTGGCGGGGGTTTCTCAATAATACATGTGTGGCGGGTGTTTCTCAATAATACATGTGTGGCGGGGGCTTCTCAACAATACATGTGTGGCGGGTGTTTCTCAATAATACATGTGTGGCGGGTGTTTCTCAATAATACATGTGTGACGGGTGTTTCTCAATAATACATGTGTGGCGGGTGTTTCTCAATAATACATGTGTGGCAGGGGTTTCTCAATAATACATGTGTGGCGGGTGTTTCTCAATAATACATGTGTGGCGGGTGTTTCTCAACAATACATGTGTGGCAGGTGTTTTTCAACAATACATGTGCGTCTTATGCCTCTCAATAATAATCCAAACAAAGTAAGGAACACCTCAGTAGACCTACCGAACCATACGAGGCAGGTCCTATTTAGATCCAAATATTTTTACTCATGTGTCTGTCCTATTTTTGTTAAACATTAAATTATTTAGCCTCAGCAGTGCTCCCTGGTAAGTTGTTCCATGTGTCTACTACCATATAACCAAACCAATGTTTGGCTATATCAAGGACGGGCGTCAAAATCGTAAAAATTTTCTCCCGTGCTAGCAGAAATTGTTGAGAATATATTATAGTTTCGTGCTTTTTATGTAATGGAAGAACCTCTTAAGTAATCAAGTATTGCACTAGAGCGGTAGAATCAAAGAACGTTCTAAGAGTGATTATTAAGGCATGTAAGATTGAGGGAATTTAGGGATGGAATTTTTACTTAAAAGTCGTTCTATCGTGTTGATAGTGTGGATATATATATATTTTTAAGTGTTTAAGTGTAATTCTGGCTGCTTGAGATTGCTATATACAGCCACACAATTTAAAGTATACATTTTTAACATTAGCAAAAAAAATAACCAATAATTCGGATTTTTTTATATCAGAGCAATCAACCGTAAATTGTAAAGTTGTCGTAATAGATTACAATTTATTACCACGGACGTGTGGATGACAATTTACAGTTTGTATTTGTAAACAAAGACAATATTTTTCACCTCACCTCATTCCTGCCTATATATCCTCCACCACTGACTTGTAATATCCAACTTTTGAAAGGTATATTATTAAATACGAAAGTACTTAAGGAATGTGCTGTCTTATGCCTTTCTTCGTGGTCTGATATTGTCACATTCTTCATCGTGTTAATTTCTTCGTGATTTATATATATATATATATATATATATATATATATATATATATATATATATATATATATATATATATATATATATATATATATATATATATATAATATATATATATATATTGACCAGACCACACACTAGAAATTGAAGGGACGACGACGTTTCGTCCCACAATCGACTTGAGAATGGTCCAGGACGGACCGAAACGTCGTCGTCCCTTCAATTTCTAGTGTGTGGTCTGGTCAACATACTTCAGCCACGTTATTGTGACTCATCGCCTGCAATATATATATATATATATATATATATATATATATATATATATATATATATATATATATATATATATATATATATATATATATATATATATATATATCACTATCTTGCTCTGATGAATACGAATTGAGCCGAAAACGCGTCCAGCATTCTTTATTTCTTCAAATGTTGGTTTTCCGCTTACTTGTATCAATGCTAATATTAACACACAGCAGCTTCCCTATGACTCTGTAATATAGCCATTGCTCAAACAATTATATATTAGCGATAAGACCTACCATTAATGTACAGTGACTTACTGTAAATGTATAGCTCTTGAAATAGAACATTCTCAGTTCATCGCTGACATTGTAATTATAAGTTGTGAAGGACAGAGGAAATTGTTAATGTAATTATCTCCATTTAGGTCTGATAAAGACCTTTTGTGCTCTCTGTAATCCGTTTTTGCGCTACCGCTCACAGGATGAGTATGGGGGATACACAATACACGATTGTTGCCTCCGTCGGCAACAATCAAAATTGAATCAGTGCTTTTGTGATCGTGGTTACACACATACATATTATATATATATATATATATATATATATATATATATATATATATATATATATATTCACACCTGTGTATACTCTAGGGTGTGGTCTGGGTTCAACATTTCAAAAGGCGGCGGTGGCCCACGGACGTATTATATTTCTTCTGAGAGTTCAAAGTTCACAGACTGCTGTCCTTTGTCTGTTGAAGAAAGATAGAACAGGTGAAATATTTTTCCGGAACACAATAGCGTAAATTTAAACTGTGCTATGCGTTGTATCTTAACAAGATTCAATAAAACTTAGCAAACTAATACAATATACATTATTCGCCTCCCCCTACTTGGCTAGTGAATTAATGCGGTGGAATTCTTGGAGCGAATTGCTAAGGTTGTGTTTGTATTGTGTTCTGTGGTGACTCGATGTTACTTGACACAAATTTAAAGTTTCTCGGCCGCTATTTCATTATTGACTCGACGTCCAGGCGCTGTGTGTGGGAAGGGGAGGGGGGGGAGGGGTGTTGGCGTGTTTGCGGGAATTAAACTCCAGCTCCTGGTGCCCGATTTTTTTCTTTTTACATGTTGATCATCCTCCCTTGAGTCTTAACTTATATGTGAACTCTTGTATGGTGATTGCTTCCACTACTGCCTCTCTCTGTCTTGGTAGGTTCAATTTGTTCACAACCTTCACACTGTTGCTCTCATTTATCAATGTGTGTGTGTGTGTGTGTGTGTGTGTGTGTGTGTGTGTGTGTGTGTGTGTGTGTGTGTGTGTGTGTGTGTATGTGTGTGTATGTGTATGTGTGTGTGTGTGTGTGTGTGTGTGTGTGTGTGTGCGCGCGTGTGTGTGCGGCGCCCTACTGTCTAGCGGTCATGGATGGACGTGAGCCAATTCGTACCCTGGGTGTTCCCGCCAGCTCTCCTGACTGACTAGGAGGCCAAAGGAGCGTGTTACACCTCTTCCCCCCCCCTCCCTCACCAGGGTCATTTACCCCCCTCCCCCACCACTTCCCTCCTTCCCCATCACTCCCCCTCCTTTCCCCCTCACTCCCCCAACACTCGCCATCCACGGTGAATACCCTCTTGGCGCCTCTACAGCTGCTGACCACGCCCACCTGTCCGGATTCCGTATTACACACCCATCTGTCTGTCTCATGCGCTTCTGCCCCCTCTTCTGTGCCCACATGTCTATCTGACGCACGCCCATCTATCAGTCTCGCGTCCACCCATCTCTGTCGCACGCCCATCTGGATCAGTGGAGCGTCCACCTATTCATAGGTGGATAGGTTCATCCACCTATCCCTGTCGCACCCTCCCACCTGACATACACCGTTCAGTGGTATTTATCCTGTGACACACAACATACACTTAATACATACGTTGAGGCACAACATGCACGGCTATACAACATACACTGGTATACAACGGAGCTCGGGACTGGGAAACTGTTCCTTATACGAAAGTCATATTTCACTTAGCGGACATTTGACACGGCCGCACACTGTAGTAAGTGCATTATACATTGTATTTTGAGCTGTATACACTGTATTATGCGCTGTATACATTGTATTATGTGCTATATACACTGTATTATGCGCTGTATAAATATTATGCGCCGTGTAAATATTATGCGCTGTATAAATTGTATTATGCGCTGCATAAATTGTATTATGCGTTGTATACATTGTAGTATGCGCCGTATACATTGTATTATGCGCCGCATGCATTCAAATATGTCACAAACAAACATACAGACCACGTTTCAGTAATTTAAAAGGCTTTCTAAGCTCGCAAAGCGAACCATAAAATAAGACCAATAATAGAATAATATATTATAATATAAGACCTATATTAAGTCGACCTTTAATAAGACCTCTGGGTGTCCTCTCCCTCACCTCTGACACAGTATATCTTGGCCTTAATGTGTCCCCTTTTTCCCTGAGATTCGACAATCAGTGGAATAATACACTCAGTGGAATAGAAAATACAGCAACACGGAAGGTACGTGATTAGTAATACATGATACTTGAGGCCTGACTGGAGGTGGATTGTTGACGGTTCAGATAATCAATAAGAGGGCCGTGCAGAGGAGGGGGTGTGGGGGGGCCTTGTGGTGGGGGGGGGGTGGTGGAGGCACTGTGAGGTAGGAGGGGGGGGTGGAAGCACAGTTGGAGGGTGGGGTGGGGTTGGGGGGGGGTTCACTGTGGTAGATGAAGTAGATTTAGAGGTTAATGTGGGTGTAGGGGAAGATTGGGGAGGGGATTGGGTGCTGTTGTAGTCGGAAGAGATGGAAGGGGGGGGGGGGGAATCAACATTGATGACTGCTGTTACCCTCCATTAGAGTACCTGAAGACATCAATAATATTCCTGGTAATTTAGGATAAGTGTGGTAGAGGTAGTGATGGAGGGAATGCTACTACACTACACCACTCACCCTTCACTACACTCTACGTCACCACACCCACTATTCCACACCCTTTACACCATATCCATTACACCACACCACACTAACTAGACCACACCCACTATGCGTCATCCACTGCACTACACTCTACTCCATCACGCCCACTGCACCACACCCACTACATCACACCCACACACACACACACACACACACACACACACACACACACACACACACACACACACACACACACACACACACACACACACACACACACACACACTGTGCAGACGACGAGTCACAGTAACGGGGCTGAAGGTATGCTGACCACACCACACATCAGAAAATGAGGAGAGACGTTTCGGTCCGTCATGGACCATTATCAATAGTGTAGGCTCGATAATGGTCCAGTACGGACCGACACGCCGTCCTGACTTTACTTTCTGATGTGTGGTTTCGTCATCATACAATACACCACACTGTACCCCCACTACACTACACTACACTGTACCTCACTACACCACACTGTATCCCCACTACACCACACTGTATCCCACTACACCACACTGTATTCCCACTACACCACACTGTACCCCACTACACCACACTGTATTCCCGATGCATCACACTATACCCCACTAGAATCCACCTTTTTGTACACACACACCTGGCTTGAGTGACCTGGCCAGCACCACAGATGACTAAGAGAGGCAGTTCTGAGGTCTGGTGTGCGTGGAATCCCGAGCCTTACTGGTGCAGTGGTCCCATCACCACCCTCCTTGATTCACCCTGACTCACTCTGGCCCCCTCCCTGACTCACTCGTCCCCCCCACCCCCCCCACCCCTGACTTACCCAAGTTTCCCAGTCATGCATGAGTCTGATATTCACATACTCACCCACGTTTACTCATCCAAATGTCTGTCATGCAAGAGCCGCATTCATCCCTCCCTCACTCAATTATCCACGACTTGCCTTCGGCATATATCAAACGTACTCATTCACTCACTCACTCATTATGAATCACTAGAGTCTGCACCGTAACGTCATAAACTATAGAGCTCCCGAATATCTATAAAACTACTAATGTAGCGTTTGTGATAAATCTAACTGTTATACCATCAGCCCGTCCTCATCAACAAAGGCCAAATGCTCATTAATCCAGCTGCCAAAACACTCTGTTTATGAATGAACAACAGTTGACACACGATCCATAACTGATGACATTCGAATATTTCTCGAACAGTGCTTCGCTGACGACCTCTGTTTGAATCATACCGTTGTAAATGCTTCAACAACGTATTTCAAATACAAATAATCGCCAGATGAACCTAAAACCCCTATCCAAACCTAGCCTAGCCTCCCCTAACCAAACCTAACCTAGCCTAGCCTAGTCTAACCTAACCTAACCTAGCCTAGTCTAACCTAACCTAGCCTACCCTAGTCTAACCTAACCTAACCTAGCCTAGTCTAACCTAACCTAGCCTAACCTAACCTAGCCTAGCCACCCCCAACCAAACCTAACCTAGCCTAGCCTACCCTAAACAAACCTAACCTAGCCTAGCCTACCCTCCCCTAACCAAACCAAACCTAACCTAGCCTAGCCTACCCTAAACAAACCTAACCTAGCCTATGCTTAATTATACATATAAATTTAATATATAGTAATATTACAGCCCATCCTCCTGTTTTGGTAGTACGTATAGAAAGGATGAGGACCACAGTACATATACCGACGTACAACGCAATTAGAAAGTAAAAATCGGCACCATTGAATTAGGACAAACTGGAAAACGATTTTCTACTTATGTTGCAAAGACAAACTAAAATAACTTAACCTTCCTAGGCTTAATACACGCTATCTGAGGACTATAGTGAGTAGTATAAAATTCTACTATTTATTTTGCTTAGTATGTCAATACACATTTGGTCTCTATTATATTGTGATAGAAGTGGAATTTCTACTTCCACTACTAATTTCTATTATGTGAGCATATTTACACAAAGTAGTATCTAAATAAGAGGATGGGTTGTAATATTAATACAGTATATAAGAACAAACCTATTTTCAATACACTATACGTTAAAATTTAACAATGCGTCTTTGGGGACGGCCACAGTTTTAATAACCTAGGGCCAGATTCACGAAAGCACTTACGCAAGTACTTACGAACCTGTACATCTTTTCTCAATCTTTGGCGGCTTTGTTTACAATTATTAAACAGATAATGAGCTCCGAAGCACCAGGAGGCTGTTTATAACAATAACAACAACTGAATGTGAAATTTTCATGCTTGTAAACTGTTTAATAAATGTAACCAAAGCCGTCAAAGATTGAGGAAAGATGTACACGTTCGTAAGTGCTTGCGTAAGTGCTTTCGTGAATCTGACTCCTAGTCTGAGGATGTGCTGAAATACCAATAAAGCCCAACAGAACCTAATCACCTAACATAACCTAAGTTAAGTCTAACTATTCAACACATTTTAGTATAAAATAACATGTACCTTATATCTGAGAAAATACGACTTTTGAATACGCAATGCGTTAGACTTGATGAATGTGTCTTTGGGTACAGCCGCCGCCTGGACGAGCCTAGCCTGTGAACAGGTAGCAACATCCTATACAAACTGCTTTACACTCACATGCAGGAAATTTGGCGCGTTGAATTGACGAATATTTGGCCTTGGTATTGGTGAGGACGGGCTGAGTTAACAACTGGGTTCCTACAAGGGTCGATCCTGGGACCTTCGCAGTTCTTCTTGTATGTAAATCATTTATAATAATTCTAATAATAAATAAT